TATGTCATATACAAGTAATCCCAAGCATTTTACAGATACATCACAATGCTAACAAGTTATTTAAAGTTCACCAAGAGAATGCTACAGATTCCCAGGGGTTCTAATTAATCTCCTAGCTCTTCTCCATCTGCTCTCCCACAGCTACACCATCTACTCTGCAGTTGTGGGGAGGATAAGCCTGCAGAGAGCATCGTTTAGCTCCCCTGGCTGGGTTCTGCCAATGGCAGCCACTGGCCCAAGGCCTGAGGCAGAAGCGAGGGAACCTCCCTTCCTCTAGCTCAGCCTCAAAGCCGCAGCTCCCACTGGCCCTCCTCCACAGTGCCAGCTTTCAGCTCTGGTGATCTCTGGAGAGTGGTGGCCTTCTCGCTGTTGCGAGTCCCTCAATGCTTAGCTGCCCTTGTTTGCTCCCTAACTGCTGCAAACACTGCTGTCATTTGCATCATCAAGGAAAGTCCTCTTTCCTATAGTATTTTGCCTGGCATGACTGGTACCACTGAGTCTGCTTATCCAGCACTCCGTGCTAAAGAAATCTAAAGGTTTTCAATATATTCTTTGCTTACGACGACCTATTCAAGCACATGTTTATTCCTGCTATTTTTATGACAGCTTAAATGTGGCATAGTAATTCACTTCTAAACAAAAATGGCTAACAAAAAACAAAAATCATTATGGTTTAAATTAGTTATAAAATTTAACACTGCATTGCCCTGACTCAATATAAATGCTGCAAGCTTCAGTAAGATTTAAAAAAAAAAAAAAAAAGCCAGTGAAAGGATTCTGGTAGGGGGAAACTTCACTTCCTTCTTCCCCACATCTCCTGCATAATCCAAACCACTTGCTTTGGTTGTTGAAGCCTTTGCTGAGAACGGGAGGAAGGAAAGCTTTAAGCCAGCAGTTCTCAAGTGTTGGGATACCTGTAAATCAAAGGCAAGCTTATTAAATGCTGGCACTTGGGCCCTGCCCTTGCCTTCTTTGTGCTTTTACCAGCTCCCAGGGTAATTCTGTTGCACGGCTAAATTTCCAAATGAACAGTGGCCACCTTCAAGATTCTAGCCAGCCCTCTAGCACACTCCTTGCTTTTTCTTTTGGATGCAAAGTCCCCCATTACACACGACCAAAGGACGGAGAGACAATGATCAACACGGGGACATTTTGAACCATTCTGTGTCTGGACTACTGCCAATTAAATAATCACAAGTTAAGTCAATTAAAATCCTTTAAAAAATAAGAAGAGGAGGAGGAGCCTAGTCTCTCTGCAACTTGATCTACCTTGGCTGGCTGATGTCCATGGGAGGCCCTCCTGTATCTGAAGGGAAACAGCTAAGGAAAAGTCGATGGGGGAGGGTTAGGGTAGGTGGGAGCAGGAATTGGAAAGAGGGGGGACTTTGGTTGGGATGTGAAAAAAAAAAAAAAAAAGAAAATTAAAAAAACAAAAACCAGGCACTCCAAGTAAAAAACATTGCTCCATTTTTACAACGAGAAAACGGAAACCCAAATAAATTAATTTGACCAAGTTCATGCTTAGCAAAAAAACAAGACCTCTTAGGTGTGCCTATGGCCTCTTACCAGTAAAGGAGATCTATAAACACTCATGTTCAAAAGCCTCAGGGCTTCCACAGGGAGGCATAAGCCTAAGGAGAAAGCAGTCATGAAGTAATGCCCTACTATCTGCCCACCCGTTCCCACCTCTCTCTCTCCACTCCCCTTCCCTTCACAAGGCTTTCCTCTTTCCGCCTTCTGCCACACACAGCAGAACAGAAGTTCATGCATTAGTATAAGTGCTCTGTCTACATAAGTACCTACTATATGCTAAGGGATTTGAATGCTGACTGTGAGTTTAAGCAAATTCCTTGTGTCTGTCTCAGTTTCCCAATATGTAAAACTGAGTCACAATGCCAATCCCCAATGGTGGCACTGTGATTTAGCCAATGTGACTCAATTACTCTTGTGGCATAGTATTGGCACATAGCAAAAGCCCAAGGAGCAACAGCTACAATTTAAATTACACCAGCTCCTCTTATACCAACACATGGGTCCTAGGTCCTATTTATTTTCATGGCCTTGCATCCTGACACCATGATGAGTAATGAAACCTCCCATGTATTTATGTGCAGCAGGAGTGCTATAACCCAGTGCACTGGGCGTCTCCGGGAGGAGGAGAAGATTTTAGGGCGAATAAGTCTTTCAATAGCCCTCAAATTACACTGCTTTGACAACTGTCTATTTCCCAACTTTAGAGTCAACCCTGTTGATTACATACTGGAATGAAAAGTCTATAATTAACTTAATTCAAAACAACAATGAAATGTCGTTCAGCACAAGGACTTGGCTTTAGTATAGTCACTGTATCCCCCAGGACTGAGAACAGTGCCTGGTCTCTAGTAAACACACAAATTTTTAAAAATCAGTGTGTGTGTGTGTGTGTGTGTGTGTGTGTGTGTGTGTGTGTGTGTGTGCTCTTGTGCATGCGCACATGTGACATTTGTATGTAGGCACCCTGAGGCCAAAACACAGCACTGGATCTCCTGGAACTAGAGTTGCAGGGACTTAAAGAACTGTCTGATGTGGGTACTGGGAACAGAACTCAGGTCCTCTGAAAAAGCAGCAAGTGCTCTTAACTGCTGGGTTAGTTCTCTAGCCCCTCAAGCATTTTTTTAAATGAATTAAGGCATAAGGGAAACACAGACAGACAGACAGACACACACACACACACACACACACACACACACACACACACACACACACACCGTCTTCAGTGATTCCTTACCAAAAGGGACATAACCATTAGGTCAATACAAATACAGCAAGTAATAAAAGTTATTTTCAAAATTTCTCCAGAACATTCTTCTCCTTTATTTTTAAGCAGTTGTTGATTTTCCTGGAAAACTCTCTAACTAGAAAAGTTCATTACCAACCTGTCTATATAGTTTTATCACAAGTGTCAAAGCTTTGTGTTCATTTACTTGTCATTAAAAACACAAAAAGAGGTGGGTGGTGGTGGCACATGCCTTTAATCGCAGCATTTGGGAGGCAGAGGCGGGTGGATCTCTGAGTTCAAGGCCAACCTCTATTATAGTGATTTCCAGAACAGCCATGCTGCTCAGCAAAACCCTGTCTCTCAAAATTACAATAAAACAAAACAAACAAACAAAAAAAAAACCCACAGAAACAAAACAAACCAGACAAACACACACACAAGAGCCTGCAACCACAAAGTCTAGTGTTACCACAAAGGAAGGGGAATGGCGCCAGCCTGGCCACATAGCAACACTCAATCATTAAAAAAAAAATAAGAGTGACCTTGATTTTTCAGAATTTGAAGTATCTGGATTAAAATCACAATACGAAGTAAATTACTTGCTCACAGATTAATCCTAGCACTAGGAAGTAGAGAAATATTGCAAGGGAGAGCCTACCACCCTACGAATACAGAGATGGTCCATCTCCAGAGATGTTTCTAAAGGTCTAAAGGAATACCTAGCCTTAAGGAAGTTAGTTAACTTTAAGCAATGTTTAAGGCTTTGAATCTTTATTTTCACACCTGCAAAACAAGAATAAATATGCTATGCCTGTTTTATCAAGTTGTTTTAAGAGAAACATGCATTTAAAATTATTTCCATGCATACATGTGTGTGTGAGAGGGAGAGAGAGAGAGAATTGAATTAATACAAAGGAAGGTATTCACTTTCATAACACTTTCAGAGTTTAACCTGGGCTGGAGCATGAGGAAAGATCTCACATAGCCAAGGCCTCAAACTCACACGGATCTACCTCCCTTTGCCTCCAGAGTGTTTGGGATTATAGACAAGTGCCACCAAATCCAGTTTTACACAGTAGTATAAATGGAATCCAGGACTCCATACATGCTAGACTTTTTGATGTTGTTGTTTTGGGTTTTTTGTTTTGTTTTGTTTTTGTTCTTTTGAGATGGGATCTTCTCATAGTGCCCAGATAGGTTACAAAAACCTGAGTTCAGTTTCCTGCCTCATCAGCCTCCCAGGTACCTGAACTACAGGCTCTGCCACTGAACCTCTTTGTAGATTTTAAATGTATGGCTTCAGTTTATCTTTTTATATATCTGCCAACCTTGATATTTCCCAGATGCGAAGATCCATCACAACCAAAACTCTGCCAGGCAAGAGCTCACCTTGGAAAGGTTAATCACCTGGTTACTTTCTCTAAAATAAAAAATAGGTACAGTTCTATTTATTTGTATGTATCTGCGTGAGTGTATGCTACATATGTGTGGGTATCTACAGAGGTTAGAAGAGGGCCCTGGATTCCCTGGAGCTGGATTTGTAGGTGATTGTGAGCCACCCAACAAGGATGTTGAGAACCAAATTCTGGTCCTCTGGAAGAATAACAAGTGCCCTTAACTGATGAACCATCTCTCCAGCCCCTAGTTACTTTCAAATACAGTAACAAGTGACATCACATACACACACAAAAGATGCCTGTGTTTTTGCCGGGTGCTTCCCTGGTGCGAATTAGTCAGCATGAATGTTAGTATTCGCCCTATGTGAATATACACTGAAGGAATGTGCTTTGGTGTTTTGGTTTCACTTGACGCATGTTTTCTGCACAGCCAATTATCTCCCCTCTATTTAACACCAACAACATTTCTAAAGATGCCAGAATTGTGCTCCAGGTTTTATTCCCTAGGCTTCGGTACTCAAAGAAAATTTCGGAGTATCTGTGGTGATTTCTCAAACCTTTAAACTATTGCTATACTAATATTTATGCTTTAAGATCACCTGCTCACTAAAATCTATCAAATAAAAGCAAACCGTTATAAATACAGTACCTCTGGTACCTCTAAACTTTATCTAATATCTCAAAAAATATGTTATTTTATATTAAGGCATTTAAAATTAAGTTATTTAACTCTGATTAGTTCTTAATTGTCTGTAACCTCACCTCCTCCCAAAAGGAAAACAAAGCATGTTACCAATCAGATATTAATGATTCATATTTAAGCCACTGGATGATTTTTCACTTACATTAGAATATTAGTATCCTTGGATGCAGATTCCTAACAGTTCCAATAAGAAAAACTGCTGTACAGGTGGCCCCAGTTCAACTGTCCCTGTTTTCTTCCACATCTATCCAAAAGGACTCTGCCATTTCATTCCTTTAGGTGTATTACATCTCATGGGGACACTCTTGAAGCTTGAGCTATAAGAAAGAAAGAAGGAAAGAAAGAAAGAAGGAAGGAAGGAAGGAAGGAAGGAAGGAAGGAAGAAGGAAGGAAGAAAGGAAGGTTGATTTGGGTACTGGAGAGATGGCTCAGAGGTTAAAGGTGCTTGCTGTTCTTCCAGAGGACCCAAGTTCAGTTCCTAGCACCCAAGTCAAGCAGCTCACAACCACCTCTAGCTCCAGGTCCATGGGTGTGATACCCTCTTCTGCCCTCTAGAGGCATTCACATTTATGATTACATATACACACATACAAATAAATAATAAATTTTCTTTAAAAAGCCATGAATCATTTTGATTAAAAGACATTTTTGTGTAAACCAGGTGGCCAGGTGTAATGGTATAAACCTTTAATTTCAGCACTCAGGATGCAGAGATAAGTGCATCCCTGTGGGCTAGAGGTCAGCACAGTCAGGACTACATAGTGAGACCCTACCCCCCCCAAAAAAAAAGGAAAAAAAAAGAGAATAAAATGGGGAGAGGGAAGGATGTAGCAGCAAGATGGCGAAACAAGTGAAAAACACATTCCATGCAAACATGATGACCTGAGTTTGACCAAAACCGACTCCATAAAACTGTCCCGACTTCCACAGTATGCCATGTATATGCACACATAAATTATATACACACAATAAATAGATACATAAATAGATGGATAGATAGATGGATGGATGATAGGTAGATGGGTGATGATAGTTAGATAGATAGATAGATAGATAGATAGATAGATAGATAGATAGATAAAATTTGCCCTGGACTAAAGATATAATAACTTCCCTGCCTCGCATGAAAGTAGGTTTGATCCCATCACCACAAGCACAGGGGAAGAGCTGCAAACCATTATAATCCCAGTGCTCAGGAGATGGAGGTAGGAGAATGTCTTAATATTTATTTATTCATTTGTTGAATTACCATTATTTGCTTATGGCTGTGTGACATGGCATATGTGTGGAAGTCAGAGGACAATTCACAGAAGCTGTTGGTCACGAGCTCAGGGCATCAGGGTTCCAGACAAGTGCTTCTACCTGCTGAGCCATCTCACAGGCCTGGATATTCTTAGCCTGAAGCATGTTCCACCCCCTAAGACTAGAGTTAATTTAATAACATTTAAGAGACAGCTACTATATTTGGGAGCAACAATCTAGCTCACAGGAAGGAAAAAAAATTGAAGCTTTATCCTAAACAGAAACCTCATACACAGTTCAGCTATAATGAAATCAATCCAGGATTAGATGGCAGTGTTAATTCCTATAAGCCCATCAAAATGAAAAGCACATAATACTTATTACATTCTGGAACTACACCAGAAATGATGCCATGGCATTGGGTCACTGCTCTAGGTCTTAAGGAAGTAGACATAAGATTTTCAATTAGCTCCAGACTCCATGCATGAACTATTACTGTCTTCAAATCTCCAGACCAGTTCTACAAGGATCTCTCAATAGTTCACCAAGTGAACAGAAATCCAAGGCAAGCTCTGGTGAAACCGTTGGGGGACTTCACTATCAGAAGACTCCCTGTGTATCCAGAGTCTGGACTTTGCCCCTCCAAAGCTACGTGCAAGTATTTATTTCGCTAAGCCTCTGATTTCTCCTCTATAAAAGAACAAGACCGTCAACTTGGAAAATTATTTTGTAAATCAAGCCTTCAGCTTGTGTGTATAACACTAGTACTAAATTGCCAGTTCATAAACTGTTACAAAGTATCTCTTTCTGGGAATCCTCATTATTCTGTGTGAGATTTATTCAAATTGTGACATTTTTATCAATCTTTTATGCTTAAATACGATGTTTTAATACAGAGAAATGAAAACTTTAGTACCCAGAGAGGCCTCTACCCACTCAATTATACTTCCATACATGACATTTTTAAACTGGCATTTTACGTATGCTAAGTGGAGCCTTACGTACCAAGAGAAATTTAAAAACTAGAGAATTTTTTAAAATGTGGAGTGCCTATATATTTATTCAGACCTTGCATGGTGGAAATCTTTTAAAAACTGTCTAAAGGCGGCTGCCTTTCAGAACCCAGATACAGTCCAGTTGTCTAAACAATAAATGATCCACCACAGACTCCAGGCAAAGTCACAACAGGATGAGAGAAGAGCCTTTGGCCTCTCTCAGATTTCCTGGCCACTGTTATTTTAAAACTTGATCACATAAACAGGGGAAAATCCCTTTCAGATCAGCCCCTATGGACTATAATTTACCATCTTTGTTTTTAATACCTTGTGGCAGTTTTTATAATATATGGTAGTTGTTCACTTTTCTTGCTCATGTGTCTAGATGATAAACAGCATATATATATATATATATATATATATATATTCTATACTACATTTAACCACAATAGTCTTTTCTTAATGGTACTATTAGGTTTTTGTCAATTACAAGTAACTTTTGAAAGCAAATACATAACTGGAAAAGAGGAGGGAAAAAGTAGGTAACAGATCACACACACAAAATAAAAACACTATGGGCAGATGAGCATCAGACTAAAAAGACTTGTTTACCACTGTGCATGTTTACTCCTGCACAACGGAAAACCTCAAAAATGAGCGGACATTTAAAAGTCAATGAGCTATTCTGAAGAGCTGCATTGTTTCTGACTCTTCCTTTGGTCTCCTTGTAACATTTTGGCTATTTCTAAAATTAATGCTAGAGGGCACTAAGGTAACTTTTTTTTTTAACTAAACATTTCCTAGTTGGAAAACCACAAGCCAAGATATCTTGAAGTTGAGTTAATTTGTAGAGAAATGCTGCTGTTCGGCGGTCAACCTTTGTACCATGACCACCTTCAAGACTCACATTTTATGGTGTGCAGATAGCTACAGCTGAGTCTCAGGAGCTGTTAAAAGTCTCAAGCAGACTATATTCCAACATCCTACAACTGTACCACGAGAACAAACGAAACTTTTATTCAGCACATATAAAATCGACACAACAATACTCTACATTAGGATCTGAACAGCCCTGCCCTACATACTTTTTGCCAGATAAAATGTAACTCTGTGTAAATATTCCAGACACAGATAATCTAACAATGGCCTTATCAAATTATTTCCTATTTAAAGATACAACCCAGAGCCAGTGTGTTTAAATTAGTTTAAGGCGTTTTGGAAGTAACTAACGAAGTTAATTTTTTTTTTCAGCAACACACCCGTAAAATTCACACTCAAGATACTAGACCGTTCAGGGACTAAAATTCCAGCTCTGTAGAATGCCACCATGGTCTTCAACACGGTTAAATTATTAATGGCATCATTTGATCTCTACTTCTGACAACAAACTCGTCTGTTTAGAATTTTCAGTGCGCTTCCATAAGGAGAAAAATAAAACCATCTTGCAATATCAGGGGAGATTCCCGGGACCGGGGACGCAACAGATGACAGACACCCCGCCGGCCCGGGAAAGGGAAGCCAGTGCTCCGGTCCGGTTCGCGTTCGGCCGAGCAGAGGCCAAGGCTACAAGGACAGGCGGTCGTGCAGGCGTCCACACTCACCCGAGGAGGCAGGTGAGCGAGGGGTCGCGGCCACAGAGAGGCTGCCGGGCTGCGGGCGCGAAGGGAGAGCGCGATGCCGCGGCGGAGAGCAAGCACCGGAGACGACGGCCACCGGGATTCGCTTCCTGCTGGGACAGATCCCGGATCGGTCTCCACCCGCTGGCCGGAGCCTTGCAGAGTGCCCAGCCTGCGGCGCACGTCACTGCTACGGAGCGCCCAAAGGGGCGGGAGGCGGGGGCGGAGGCGGGATTTAGTGGGAGAGGGGCGGGGCAGCTGGAGAAAGGGCGGGTCCTCATGCGCAAGAGGCGGGGGCAGCCTAAGGGGCGGGGCCTTGAGACGCGAGGGCTGAGAGGGGCGGAGTCCAAGGGAGAAGGAGGGGCCGGACTTGGAAGACCCCGGGTCTTAAGTGTGAAGGAACGGAGGGGCGGAGCCTGAAAACGTGTGGCGGGAGGGAGGAGCTAAGAAGAGCTGGGTGCCTGGACACCGGGTCGGGCGGACTGGGAGGGGGAGGCCTCGCAGAGTGGGGCGTGGCTTCAGGACTCTCGAAGGCGGAGTAGGGAAGGGGCGGGGCTTAATGACTTGCGGCCAGGGGGAGGGCGGGGCTTCAGGGATGGAAAGCAGCCTAGAGCGGAGACCCTGGGCGCATCCCTGCTAGGAGCATGCTGCAGGTGGCCACACGAAATTCCCTTCGTCGCAGTAGCGGTTGTTTCCAGTCCCGCAGCACGCGTCCTGTGGATCTACACCGCAAAGAGTTAGTGGGAGGAAATTTGAGTCAGCAGAGGGACTCGCGTGCCGTCTCTGGGTGGTACAGTCGGGAAGCCAGGCCTACGCTCCCCACGCAGCTCTCCACCTGCCTGCGTCAACTTCCTGGAAGTTCAGCCCTTGGAGGATTGGACCACGGAAGTTTTCCCTTCCCTGGCTGGCCTCCCATGCCGATGTCACATTTACTTCTTAGAACCCATGTATTTCCACCCAGCCCCTTTTGTGGTTTATTTGAACTCTTAAGAATCTCAGTGTGTAACCAGGCTGCCCTGAAACTTGCCATGTAGCCCGGGCTAGCCTGGAAATTGTGGGTTGGTTTTATAGGACTAAATAAACTGCCCTGCTTTATCTTTCCAATTGTCTAGTTTTACCGTCTTTATAAGGTCATATGAGTCATCTTTTTAAATTAAAAACATTCCTATGCAAATTTGAAAACAAGCATCGCCTTTATAAGGGAAAGAAGCTACTAAGCAAACAAAATAAGGGACTGGCCCTGAAGCCCAGCTTGTGATCCCCATAGCCCACACGGTTTAAGTTTAAAACTTACTCCTCAAATTGTCCAAGTTTCACGTGTTCAAACTGCTTATGATTCCAGATATCAGGAGGATGCAAGTTCAATGCACACCATCACAAAAATGGTGGGGGAGGATCAGGCATGCAGAGAGGACACAGTTGGTGTGATGAAAAAGCTGGGTGGTGGCAGCACATGTCTTTAAATCCCAGCACTCGGGAGGCAGAGGCAGGCAGCTCTCTGAGTTCCAGGACAATCAAGACTACACAGAGAGACCCTGACTTGAAGGGGGAAAAAAAAAAGAAAAGAAAGAAAGAAAGGAAGGAGGAAAGAAAGAAAGAAAGGAGGAAAGAAAGAAAGAAAGAAAAAGCTACCCCTTCTTCAATGAGAACATTTCAAATTCATAAGACAGTAAGTAAAAGTAGGGAAGTTAAAAAGAGGAAGAAAAACCAAGAAAGGAAGTAATTTACAGCAATCACAGGAGTTTAGCTCCAGATTGTCAAGAGGTAAATCTCAAATATATAAAAGATTGTAATAAAGTCAGGCAGTGGTGGTGCACACCTTTAATCCCAGCACTCCGGAGGCAGAGGCAGGCAGATCCTGTGAGTTCGAGGCCAGCCTGGTCTACAGAGCTAGTTCCAGGATGGGCTCCAAAGCCATAGAAAAACCTGTCTCAAAAAACAAACAAAAAGATTGTAGAATTAACTATAACCAGGGGCAGAGCTCATTTTCTATAAGCCCAGTGCAGGGATGAGAGAGGAAATTGGAGGCAAGTGGAACCCTTGGGCTCATTGGCCAGCTATTCCAGCAAAAGTGGTGAACTCCAGATTCACTGAGACATCCCTGTTACAAAAAAATCAAATTGTGAAAGACTGAAGAAGATGCCTGTGTTGATATGGTTTTTTGTTTGTTTGTTTGTTTTTGTTTTTTGACAACTTCATGCAAGCTAGAATTATCTGAGAGGGAACATCAATTAAGAAAATCGCCCATCTGTTTGGCCTGTAGGCAAGCCTGTTGGACATTTTCTTGATTGATGATTGACACGGAAGGACCTGTGCAGGTGGTCCCAGGGTATATAAGAAAGCAAACTGAACAAGCAGGGTAAATAAACCAGTAAGTAGGCATTCTCCTTCCCTCTGCATCAGTCCCTGCCTTCAGGTTCTTGTTTTGAGTCACTGCACTATCTTCCCTTGATGACGGACTACAATCTGAGAGATGAAATAACAGCTTTCCTCCCTGGGCTGCTTTTGGTTGAACTTTTATCTTAGTAATAGAAAGCAGACTAAGACAATGCCTAACATAGAACCCTGGCTCCCACCCAAACACATTGCAGACACACAGGGTCTCTTATGCCTGTGCTCGACAAAACAACAAAACAACCGAGAACAGAAACAATTGGCTCTTTAAAATGAAGGTCGTGGCACTGGAGATGGCTCCGCAGCTAGGAGCTCATGGCAACTAGTGATAATGGTCTGTAACTCCACTTCCAGGGGGAATCTGACACCCTCTTCTGGCCGTCACAGGCACTGCATGCGTGTGGTACATAGACATACAGCACCTATACACATAAAGTAAAAATAATAAAGCTCTTTAAAGGAAAAACTGCAGGTCACTGTGTATTTCGTTCACTGCCTTTACCTGATTTTGAACTTAACATAAAAATCTATTTGCAAGCCAGTAGAAAAGCACTCTGTTTACAGTTTCTTGTGACTACTGACGTCCATGAGTCTTTCTCCTTTTGTCCCTTCCCCCACTTTAGTCTGTTTAGTCCCTTTGCTTCTAATTCCATATCTCTCTGCTCAATTCCTCTTCCTACCTACTACCCTTATCTTTTTTCCAGACCATCATCATTGCAGTTCTTACATAACCATAACACCAGTCCAGACTTTAAAATCCAGCAGTGAATGGTTCTCCTATACCCTTAGTCTTAAGTCCAACCCCCTCAGCATGTCTTTCCCTGGACCCTGGCGAGCCTGGAGAGTGAGTCTGTGGGCTGAAGCATGCTAGGCCAGCCCACCTCAACTGACTTACATCAGTCCTAAAACACCTTGTAAGATCCTGGATATAACCACCTTTCACAACGAAACTGGTCAGCCTTGTTTGACTAGTGCAGTGGGTTAGTTCTCTTGTCTTTTCATTATTTTTTTAAAGCCTTTTTACTAGTCAAGTGATCCCAAGTACATGACTGTGCTCGGGTTCACAAGCTGAGTCACCAGGTGTCTGTCCCGAGAGTCACAATCCTCTCCACACTCAGCTGCCCAATCTCATTTCTACCGACAGCCTCCATTTCTCCCGCTGGACATTCAAGTCATTCTGAAGGGCTTTTGTGTCCGCAAACACACACTCTATGCTATTTACTACACTGGAGCACAGCCAGGCTAAACCCAATTATTCCTTCAAAACAAAGCCTATTTGTCCTCCCCAAGAATTTTCCCTAAACCCCCTGGTGGTAGATCCTAGGCATAATTCAGTTCTTTTCCCATCTTTCACTTAATATCTGCTGTGCAAATATCTCTTCCAATACATATTGCACTATTACCACCTGTATCTACTTACATGTATTCTCCAGTTTGCCTAAATACTCTTTGAAGACACAGTAGACTTTGCTTTGAATTCCTAGTGTCAAGCGCAGTAGCTTTCTCACAAAGTAATGCCTACAGGGTCCAAGAAATAGCTCACTGGTAAAGTTCTTAATGTTAAATAAATAAATAGTACCTACCATTAGTATTATTATTGAATAAAATAGAATGGAAGGATAAGCAAATGTCAATTCTGGGAGCTGCATATGCTTTCATCAAGTGTAGTGGAAGTAGCTCTGTCTGTGTGGCCTAGACTCATTCCATATTACATGTCTTATATTGTTTTGCCTCTTCCCACCCCACCCATCCCCCTTTTTAGGCAGCCTCTCATATATCACAGGCAGGCGTGGAACTTGCTTGTAGCTGAAGATGAACCTGAATTTTCTTTTTAAAATTTAGTTACTTGGCGATTTCATACATGTATGCAATCATTCTGGAGGCTTTGAGTATCTCCCTCTGTCTCCTACAGTGCTGAGGTCATAGACACTGGGGAATCAAACCCAGAGACTGCTGCCTGTTGTTTGGAGGCTATCCCGGGAATTATTTCCTTTCTTATTTTGACATTTATTTATTTTGTGTGTGTGCAAGCATGTGGAATGAGACAGCAGCTTGTGGAAGTTGGTCCTCTCTCAAACTCAGGTCCCCAGGCTTGATGTCAAGCACTTTTACCACTAAGCCCACTTGTCTCACACCCCCAAGAATTCCTAACATGAGATCTACAGATAGCTTATCAGAGATGGGAATTCCACAAGCTGCCTCCTCCCCACCATATGCAACATTTCTTTTTAGTTTTGATGCTTTTGTGTTTTTACAGGAATTCACAGTATAGGTGTGTGAAGGGTCTACTTCTGTGTTGCCAACTCTAGAGTAATGAAGGCAGAATACCTGCAGGTGTGATGCTGAGACTCATTATCTTTCCTCCAGGAATGCCGACAGACCCTGCTGTGACTGGCATTGCCAGCAGCTGAGCCCAGAAGCTCCAGGGCTCTTCTCTCCCTCTGCGTTCAGAGTCACCAAATACAGTCATTCCATAGCATAATTATCCCAAAGTTGGTACTTCACTCCATCTTCTCTTATATGAACTCCGGATGTTGTTTCTGCTCATCCCAGGCCATTCTCTCCTCCATTCCTACAGTTACCTCCTCTCAAACCCGATTACATCACCCCACTTACTGTATCCTTGTACCTTCAGCAACTTTTTTTTTCCCCGGGCCAAATATGTCTTCTAAAATGTCTTCTACCTACACCCAAATGTGTACTTCCTTATTAAATAAGGCTTTGGCAAGAATCCTGCTGCACCCCTCAGCAAGAAGCTCTGCCCTCAGTGTCTCAGCCTCT